CGCTGCACCATTGCACCAACCCCCCACTAGTGATGACGTACCGTTACAATGTATCGCTGGTTGGTGGCCATGTTTGCGTGTTTGCTTGTCGTCAGTGGTCTCTCCACCGTGTGCCCTTTTCTGTCTCTTGTTTCTTGTTATTTTCGGCTTGGTCCCTTTTTGTTCTCGCTCTGTTTATTCCATTTTCTCTTTCCGTACTGTTTCCGTTTATTTTCTTCTCTTTTTCTCTTTTTCTCTCTTTTTCTGTTCCAGATGGCCTTGTCTCTGCTTGCGTTGTGAAGTACCAAGATTGAACCAAGGGGGTATACCTCATTCTCTCCGGCCCGTGATGGTGGCTCCTAGTCTCAGTTGTTACCACCTCGCACATAGCGCGCAGAGGGAGTGGAGGACTCCAGAATATCTGTCGTTGATTTCTATTGACTTGCGGGCCCCTCGGGGCCATTTTATTTGAGTGTACCTTTTTAGGGTAAGTTAGCCTGCGACCACGGGAAACGACCGCGTCGAGTGTTGGATCAGCACGTACATACGAAGGTACTGGGTAGAGAGAGATCGGAACGGTTTTTGATGTGAAGACAACAACAACAACAACACTACAATTCGACTACAGCAGAATTCAGAAGCATCACCCCCCTTGTCCCGTATTTCACCAAAATGAATGTTTGTCGGCTACAGCGTACTGCTGTCTGAAGTGCAGTCCGTACAATAATAACACCATGGTGCATGGTACACAAGCTACAGTGCCAGCATTCGTCAGGCCGAATACGGGTGCTATGAAAAAAAAAATAACCTTCATCAACAAATTGAGCGGAATCAAAATATTCGTGAGAAAGCTCTCATCAGCAGCGATCGAATAAGCCCATTCACAGCGCGGGGTTCAGGCGTTCAAGAAAGATATGCCCCCATTACCATCATAGCAGAAGGCACTTCATCCCACAAGAATCGCCATGTCTCAACAACTACGGCAAACCCCGCGAATAAAATTGCAGATTCGAAAAGCTCTCGTTCAGAACTCTTTTACTGAGAGGGAATCATCCCCGAGCTCGTTGATGAAGGACTGAAAAAATATCAGAACCAACATTTCGCCCACATCAGCCCCAACGGCTGCCACACAAAAAGAGGTCGCGGTCCACGCCCATGGCTTTTAAGTTGCGCGACAAGTCCCTGGCGACCATACTGGCAACCTTGGCTCATCGTGGTGTTAAGCTGGTGAGTGTGCATCAGCACAAGGCTCCGAAGAAAGTATCATGTGCAACCGACGGCCCAAGTGCATGGATCCAGACAGCGCTGGTGCAGCCCACACATCANGCGAATAAAATTGCAGATTCGAAAAGCTCTCGTTCAGAACTCTTTTACTGAGAGGGAATCATCCCCGAGCTCGTTGATGAAGGACTGAAAAAATATCAGAACCAACATTTCGCCCACATCAGCCCCAACGGCTGCCACACAAAAAGAGGTCGCGGTCCACGCCCATGGCTTTTAAGTTGCGCGACAAGTCCCTGGCGACCATACTGGCAACCTTGGCTCATCGTGGTGTTAAGCTGGTGAGTGTGCATCAGCACAAGGCTCCGAAGAAGTATCGTGTGCAACTGACGGCCCAAGTGCATGGATCCAGACAGCGCTGGTGCAGCCCATACATCAAGTTTCCGAAAGGCAGAACCACGGGTCGCGACTGGGCGGCCGAGGACCGGTGGGCTGCTACCTGGCGGCCATCCTTCTGTAGCGGCAACGTGCCCCACAACGATGCGAGTGCAGGCGAAGCCAAAGCTGCGCCTCCCCGAGAAAAGCGGCCGCGGGACTGTCAACATGCTGCGGAATCCACCGGATGCACCGCCTGGAAAGCGCGGCGGAGCACGCCCTGGAGCAGGCAGACCAAAGGAAAGCTACGGCAGGAAGAGGCTTCGCCAAGCTGCGCAACAGCTCAATAGTTATCTCGAGCGAGGGGAGCTCCAGTGTGCGCAGATGGTCTCGCGCGATCTTCCTGGAGCGATGTCGGATGCAGTGAAGGAGGCGCACCAGCAAGAAGAGGTCTATCGACCAGCGTTCCTCAAGCGCCAGAGCAACAGGGGTGTGGGCAGGAAGGAGGNTGAAAGGACTGTACCACATGCTGCTCATAGGGGTGTCCAAGAGGCAAGCTTTCGAGGAAACGGCGGAGTATTTTTAAGTGTGGCATCCAGCACCCTCCGTGAGTGGGCGCTTTCCTACCGCACCAAGGGCCATGTCCAGGTGAGAGGAAATATGTACCAGACATCCGTTTCAACCGCAATGAAAGATGTGCGTGCCGTAGACTCTGTATGTGGCGATGAACATAAAATAGTACTGCTGTAGCTCAACAAGCTCGCCGGCCGTTGCTGTGAACATGCTCCCTCCGTGCAACGCATGCGCTATTGTTCCCTTTCCATCCCGCACCCGTGCATGCTTTTGAGCCACCCTTTTCCTCTTTCTCGACAATGCGGTGTTCTTTGTTGCGTGCACCCTTGCTGTATTTGAAGGTGGGCCAGAGGGGGAAACACGAACGGCGGTGGATCCTGAGCTTGGACGAGGGTCTTCTCGTGATGGTACGCCAATGGAGCCGCGTGAACTTTATCAAAAATGGGGAGCCCAACATGACAGCCGAGGGCTTCCGCGAGTACCTCAACAAGGACGTCTTGCCACAGGTAGCAGATACCAAAATGTGCGACTACGACCCCTTCAAGCACGCTCCTGTCACCAAGACGACGACTGAAACGGCATCGGGAGAGATAGTGGTGTCGTACTCGGTGACCGTTCGCACGGCGCGCTCCTGGCTGCACAAGCTGGGGTGCGAGTACCGCGACCGCAAGTCGGGCCTGTTTGCGGCCTACGCCACTTATTTATCGGGTGAGACTGTTTTGGTGATGTATTAACTTCACGAGAGGTTGACGGCCATCCTTCACACGGACGAAAGAGGGAGTGCTCACAGAGCGGCTCCCACAGCAAGGAGGGGCCCCGTGAATCATCGCGGTGCCCCCTATCAAACGGTTATCTTACCAGTCTGCGTGACACAAAATCATCCAGCACATGTATCCAACAACAATGTTCGCAGACCCACAAACACCTTCCCTGGTTCTTCACGCAAGTGACTAACCATCAATTGGGCAAGAACGCCCCAGGATACATCAGAAAATACCAACATGGTATTATATGGAGGGGAAACCCGGCGTTCGGGCAGAACCCCTCAAGGAAAAACCCTACCACCACAAAAGACCCGTCGCTATCACAGCGGATCACAACGGCCGCACTTATTAGAAAGACCAAG